AACGCGTGGAGATGCACAACACAGTGAAGGAGGCGGCAAGCACTCCAATGACGTCGTCCGCCAAAGCGACGGACTCGTCGGAGTAGGAGAAGGGCCCCGTCTGAAGCATGCTCCCGGCCAGCTCCTCGAGCTGCCCCATGGTGGGCGCCAACTGTCGTGGTGGGTGCACGCCAGATGCCAAGGGATGGCTAAAGAGAGGAGGAGGCTCGAGGGCGCTGGTGTGCTCCAGAGGCGAGGTTGATATGCGCGGGCGCGGGACGCCGTACATACCCAGGTTCGGGACTCTCCAGAGAGATAACACCCCTAGTCCTGCCGAGTTTAGTTGGATGATCGATAGTACAATGTTGCTCCTGGAGCTGTATGGAGGAGGAAGGAGGCTGGCCAAGGCTTGGGCTGCTCCTTCTCCCCGGTGTTGCTGCGTGGTGGCTAGTCCTATGCTTGCCTGTGTTTCTCTTATAGGTGTTTTGTGTCTATCTCGTATTGCATGTTCTCCTCTTCATGGGCGTGGGCTCCTGGGAGGTTTTATAGATCAACCCTCCCAGGGTTACAATGGTAATATGCCGAGTCGGTGGGTCCGTATTGTCGGTGTCCGGAGTACCGGGCTGGGTCCCGCTTGTGGGCTTGTGGTTCGTTGGGTTCCCCTAGGTGCGGGCCCCGCGTGCCTAGGAGGACTGTGCGCCGTCTTGTCGATCGTCAGGGCGTGGCCTAGTTGAGCCATGTACAGCGTTCTCCGTCAGGCCGCCGGTTGCTGTCGTCGGAGTTGAGGGCGGGAACACTGTTACCACGCCAGCCCTGGTCAGTGGGTAGGTAAGGGGCACTGTTGCCACGCTTCGGCTGACCATAGGCATGGGCGGGAACACTGTTGTTTTGGCCATCGATGATTGAGGTCTCGTCCCATCGTACGACCTGGATAGGACGGGAGCTGACCCGTGGCTGGGTTGCCGTGGACGCCACGGGTGGGTTGGCTTGCTGGGGAAGCCATGGCTGCGCCGGGTTGAGTCGTCCTGTGCCAGCTGCTGAGGCCGGGTAAACATACCTTGCCGAGTCGAGGGTCTTGGCCGGGTTGCGGACCTTGCCGGGTCGAGCAACCTGGCCAGGTGCGTGCCGGTTTGCGGGGTGATATGGGTCCCGCTGTTTTTGAAAAGGATCCGGGTTCCGTTGCCTGTCCGGGGTTCATCCCCCCGACACCCACCGAGATGCTTAGTCACGGTGCCGTCAGCGCACCCTCCTCTACTGACGAGACATTTCGTTAGCTCTCCGTTACCACACCCCAGGCTGTTGTTTCGTCATATAGGACCCACAATCGTATGCCTTCCTTTTCGCTTTAAAAAGCTCACCTGTATTTCTGCGACAATTAAATGCCATGTCCAACATCATGCTGTTTCATTGGACCACCTAGCAGGAGCAAACGAGCTCGTCCGCGCTATCGCCGTTCTCCAAGAAATGCACACTTTATTACAACTACACAATCACAATGAAAGTTCTGTTCTGGCCGGACCGGCTGGAATTAAAGTGACTTGCAATGTTTAGTTTGGAGCCAATTACATCGGTGGTGCTAAAACTTGGCGTAAATGATCACTTTGATACTAGAAGTTGTTGTGTACATCAAAGTGGTACAAAAACTTGATTTGGGTGTGCAAATACACTGCATATCCCGTTTTGTATATATAATCTGTGTTGACTAGGCGTGTGGGGCCTGCTGCTAGTCAGTGAACCAACATAATTTTGACAAAAAAGACCATATGGATGTGGCATTTTACTTCTCTATGCCGAGTGGGTCCTGCCTGTCAATATTAATTGAAAAAGATTTCGCGCAGGTTTCGAACCCGCGACCATAGCCTACCAAAACAATCGGCTAATCACTCGACCCTACACGCTGATAAGTAAATAATGATAACAACAAAAATATATTTAACAATGACGCATATGGAGCTTAAATCGGTTGCAGATATTGCATCCCATTTTGCACAAGCTATATTTATAAGATATTTTAAAACATAAGTAATAAAAATTATGTTCCAATATTTGTGTGTTATCAATACTATGTAAATAAAGAAAATGAAATATATACCCCTGTATATATAAAATATTTAGTTTATACGGATATTTAAAATGTATATTAGATACATTGTTTAATGAATACAGAAAAAGCATACACTCATGGCTTATATTTAAATTTTAAAATGACGAATTCAAACATTTACTTAATGAGGCACTTGATCAAGGCCTGATCAGCCACCCGATCCCTCCCAAAGGTGATGCTAAGTACCCCGTCATCCAATATGCGGACGATATCATCGTTGTTTTGCCTGCGTGTCTTCTCCAAGCGGCCAAGATGAAACAAATCCTTGAAGACTACGCCACCTCTATTGGGCTAAATAGCAACTTTCATAAATCCACGATCGTCCCAATTAACACCTCAGCCGACACGTGCGCTGCTCTGGCAAATCTTTTTGGTTGCACCCAAGCCACTATGCCGTTTACCTACCTGGGCCTGCCTTTAGGTACCACTCGTCCTACAGTTCTGGATTTGACGCCGTTTGTGTGCAAAGCAGAAAGGAAAATCACTACTGCCATGTCTCTCATGTCCCATGCTGGCAGGTTGGCGTTGCTCAACTCACTCATTACATCATTGGCCATCTATCCGATGGGCACCCTGCGCATACCTCCGAAAATCATTGCCCAGTTGGACAAAATACGCAAACATTGCCTATGGATTAAAAAGACAGCTAATGGCGATAAACACAATTCTCTGGCTACTTGGCCCGTGGTCTGTCGTCCTAAATCGAGTGGCGGCCTCGGTGTTCTTGATTTAAAAGTCCAAAATGATGGCATGCTTCTGAAATTCTTCATAAGTTCTTCAACAAAATGGACATTCCCTGGGTGCAACTGGTTTGGGAGACGTACTACATGGACTTAATCCCCCATGCAGTCGACGTGTGCGGCTCATTTTGGTGGCGAGATCTCATTCAACCCATGCCAATATTTCGTGGTATCACCCACGTTCAAGTCAACAACAGCAATTCTGCTCTGTTTTGGAAGGACAATTGGAACAATGATGTTTATGCCGATAAATACCCAAGGGCGTTCTCGTACGTCCATTGTGAAGATCTATTTTTCCGGGATTTCTTGAAGGCCGCCACCTTGCATGAAACCTTTCAGCTACCCATGTCCGTGCAAGCCCATGATGAGCTCAAGCTTCTACAACTTGATGTTGCGGATGTATCTCTCGATGATCGTGAGGACGTTTGGGCCTACTGCTAGGGAGCCACTGTCTTCAAGACGGCCGCATACTATCAATTTTTCTTTCGAGAGGTGGTGGCCCATGTGGCTTTTCGTTGGCTTTGGCGCATCAAGTGCACCCCGAAAATCAAGGTCTTCGGTTGGTTCCTGCTATCTGATCGCCTCAACACACGAAACATGCTGAAATGGAGGCACTACAACATTGGCTCCAACCCTGACTGTCTGTTGTCAGGCCATCACATTGAAGAAATGGTGGAACACCTCTTCTTCCATTGCACCTTTAGCAAAGTTTGCTGGTAGCGACTGAACATAGTTTGGGGCTCCGTTGGACACAGGCTGGATCTTGTTGAACAAATGAAGACTCAACACCCACGCAAGATGATCATGGAAATCTTTCTGGTTGCTGCTTGGAGTCTCTGGAAAGAGCGCAACAATAACTATTTTAGGCATGTGGTGCCTTCCATGGACTCTTGGTGGGATCGGTTCGTAAGTGACTTTGGTAACATACAATATACATTACCAGAACACAAGAGACATGCTGTCTCTTCCATTCTGCAAACTCTTACTCAGGGATCTTATTAGTTCTGTAGTTGTGTAGCTTAGCCTTGACTTGCTGCCCACCTTTGTAATTACCACCATGTAACAGCTTCTTTGTTCCTTTTAATATATATGCAGTAGGAGCCTTTCCTACTGTCTTAACCCTAAAAAAACATTTACTTAATACCTATAATTATTCACATGTCTATATTTTTTAGTCATGACTTATATTCGGAAATAGTATATATTTTGAATATTATACAGATTGAATATCCATATCAATAGTTTAAAATTAAAATTATGAATTTTTTATTATAAATATTGAACTATAAAAATGTGCTTATAATTATTGAAATGCTTTCATAACAAAAATAATATTTTTAAATGCAATTTTAGAAGAAATTTTATCATTTTAAATTACTTATACATTTTTACCATTCATAAATATTTTCAATATACGAATGTGTATTGAAATAATACATGGACAAGTTTTAAAAATAAGTTATTTAGTTTTTATCCATGGTAGTTTTTATTATAAATATACCAATGAAAATAAGACATGCACATTTTTATTTAATATACATTTTAAATTTCTGTATTAACTAAATATTTTATATAGTCCATTGGTGCATATTTAAATGTTTTTATTTACTAATCATGGTTTGTTTGTGTAAAATTTATAGCACACATACATTTAAACATAATTTTGATAAGTTATATTTTATAAATATATCTTTAGAAAACAGCGCATGCAAAATGGGCCGCAATATCTGCAGCCCATTGAAACTTCAGATGCGTACCTGTTAGATACATGTTGCTAATGTCTCAAAAAAAAAGTTAGATACATGTTGCTAAAGTCTCAAAAAAAATGACACATATTGCTAAAATAGTCTGCTGAATACATATAGGATAGTTATATCCCACTAGGACGTCGTGACCGCCATAGCGTATTAGTTATACAGGTTTGCTCTCTTTCCTTGGTAGCGTGTTCGAGCCCTGTCTCCCGTTTTTCATGTTAATTTTGATTTAGAGATGTAAAGTTACCCGTCGATATGGACTTTTTTCGAAAAAATCAGGCCATACGCCCCCCCACGTCTAGTCAGCGCTGATTCTCTATACCAACGCGATTAGCATTGTATTTGCACGTCCGACCCAAGTTTTTGAACCACTTTGATGTAAACCGCAACTTGTAGAACCAAAGTGACTGTTTGCGCCAAGTTCTAACACCACCAACATAATTGACTCTTTAGTTTGCCAAGAAACTGAAGTTTGTGCAACTGGACAAGCACGAGTCGAGCAGCATGCTGAACCCGAGCACCTGTTTCTCCGGGTCGAACACCAGCAGGTTGTTCTCCAGCTGCTTCCCGTTGATCACCACCGCCGGCTCGCCATCCATCGGCATGCCGCCGGGCCCCATCGGCTGGATCGCCAGGCCACATCGCCCCGTCCACCGGTACCATGTAGCTGTCGTCGAACAACGTCCAGTTCCCCGTGGCACCGTCGCCCAGCACCAGGTTGATGCGCCGCACGTCGTGCCCCACCGTCCGCTTCAGCATCGGGAACCCTCCCTTGTAGCACAGCTCAAACGGCTTAGGCGCCGGCACCACCCACTTCACCGTGGCCGTCGGATTCTTCCCTCTGCATGCCATTTTCGGCAGCCAGCCATCAACGAGCTTATTTTAATTACTACGAATACTTCACGGTGAAAGGATGAGTACATAGTAATGGCGGCGTCGAACGCCTTGGCGAACGCGCGGAACACGTCGGGACGCATGATCATGTATGGCGTGCCGATGCTCAGCTCGACGCCGCCACGGCCGGTGCCGGTGTGGAGGTCGAGCGCGCCGCGGAGCAGGGCCGCTGGAGCGTCGGCCTCGTGCCACAACACCGAGATACCCTCGTCCGGGATTTTTTGGATTAAAAAAGAGGGTTTCCCTCCGATTTCATTAACGAAACCAAGCTCGAAGGTATCAATTCACACCGTAGTTAAACGTCTTCCATGTCCAACATAAGTTCAAACAACAAAAGAGCAACAAGCGAACAACGCTGACAACATTGTCGGGTCAATTGCGCATATGTGTGTGCAGCTAGTGTCCTGCCAACTAAATATCAATGTGTGTGCAATTAGACTAAATTAAAAGCCAACTGAGCATATGTGTGTGCAACTAGTCTTCCTGCCAACTAAACATCAACGTGTGTGCAACTAAACTATATTACAAGCCAACTAAACATCAATGTGTGTGCAACTACACTAAATTACAAGCCAACTGAGCATATGTGTGTGCAACTAGTCTTTCTACCAACTAAACATCAATGTGTGTGCAACTAGACTAAATTATAAGCCAACTGAGCATATCTGTGTGCAACTAGTCTTCCTGTCAACTAAACATCAATGTGTGTGCAACTAAACTAAATTATAAGCCAACTGCGCATGTGTGTGTGCAACTAGTCTTCCTATCAACTAAACATTAATGGATGTGCAACTAGACTAAATTATAAGCCAACTAAATATAAATGTGTGTGCAACACCTATTGTGTCCGGTGCCTCATATCAGATAGCAGAAACAAAACACATGAAGTTCCTCAATGGCGATACACTCATACACAATTATTCAGTCACAGGCATTCCTCCGTCTCAAGGTCACACGATTTTGCATCATAAAGAATCAACAATTGTAACTAGAGATGCAGAAGACCAACCAGCGAGGAAAATTGGAAACACACCATTTGCACATAGACAGGTTTCACAGGCGGAGACAAAATCTGACACTAATCACCTCCTGCCGAGGAGGTGAGGTTGCTCACGCACGGTACCCCTGCATCTTCGCCATCGCCGGCTGCAACCCAGCCTTCCCCTATCGTGGGCTGCTACCACACCAGGAAAGGGAAACAAGGAGGATGGGGAGACCGTGGGGATTGCGTGGACTGGCGGATCCGACGCGGAACTCCTTGGATCTGGCGCAGTGGAGCTAATCGGATCCGGTGGGGTGCACGCGTGTTGGCGCGCCGGAGATAGATGGCGACGGTTGGCCGGAGGACGGGTCGCAGCCGGTCGGACGCCATGGCTGCGGTGGTTGACGGGTCAGGGAAGGAGGAGGAGGAAGTGTGCTTCCGACCAGATATCACCTGAGGTCGTGGGCCGAATGATTCGCTGGCATCGTGCGGTCGAGCAGCGGCCGCTCGTTCTCCCTAGATAGTGCGCGCCACTTTTTAGAATTTAGGATTACAAAAAACTACTGCTAGAACTCCAGCCCCCAGTCTTCTCACGCCAGGTCTCCACCCCTGCGACTCCTTGTAAACTTCACTTGCCACCGCTCTATTATTTTTGCTCCCAGCATCAGCACTTTTTGCTCTGTTTTTTTCCTGCAAAATAGACCAGTCAATAATCCAAATGCAAAGCCTCCTGACAATTATCATGGGGCCATTCAAATTTTTTGATCTAAAAACTACATCGTTTCTGCATTTCCAAATGGACCAAAACATCACAGATATGCCCACAATCAGAAATTGTCTCTGCATTTTCTGAAATGTTTTGATCCACACATTCAAGCATTCATTTAAAGTCTGAGGAGTACTTTTAAGATCAAAGGAGCATTTAGCTAGGCTCCACATCAATCTAGCAACTGAACAAGAGAAAAATAACTGATCAGTAGTTTCCTCTTTTCCACAGAAGACACAAATTTTACTCCCTTTCCATCCTCTTCTAACCAAGTTATCCTTTGTCAGAATACTTTTTTAGCCAGAAGCCAGAAAAACATCTTGATCTTAGCTGCGGTTTTGATCTTCCACATGAATTTGTGTGGAACCCAACATTAGTTTTAATAAGAAAATCATACAGAGATTTCATTGAAAATTTTCTATCTTTGGTAAGCATGCACTTAGGTTGGTCCTTGCCTCCAAACATTCTAACTTCCTCACATCTCAGTTTTAAACTGGCCCATAAATCATATGATTCCCCCAGAAGGGTTCGTCTAAATTAAAGCCCCTCCACCCTTTAGTGATGACCTCATCGACAGAAATATTGTGATCAAGACTAATAATATACAATCTGGGATAGGCCTCCTTAAGGGGTTTAGAGCCTACCCACCAGTATTCCCAAAACCTAGTATTCTTGCCATCTCCCAGTCTCTTTTTCACATGCTAGAAATAAATTTTCTTCACTCCTAACAAACTGCTCCAGAATTGAGAATCTCCAGGTTTTTTTCTATCCCAGAGATACACTTATTTTTGATATTTTATTTCTAAGAATATCCACCCACATTCCATTTTCAGTTTCCAATTTCCAGAACCATTCAGCTAATAGTGCCTTGTTCATTATCTCAAGATTCAGAATCCCCAGCCCTCCTTGTTCTTTTGGCAGACATCAAGTCTTCCAATTAACTAGGTTATATTTCTTTTTATCTTCATTTTCTTGCCACACAAGTCTGGCTCTATAAAAATCAGCCTTTTTCCTAGGACCCACTGGCAATGGATAAAAGGACATCATGAAGAGTGGAATGTTTTTCAGACATGCGTGCACCAAGGTGACTCTACCTGCCATATTAAGCAACCTCCCTTGCCAACAGACACATCTTTTTTCAATCTTATAGGTTACTTCTCTCCTGGCTTTATTGCCTAGTCTCACATTGGATATAGGCAATCCCAAATATTTAAAAGGTACCTTTCCTATTTCACAAGTGAAAATTCTTTGATAGTTATCAGCTTTATTAACAGCTTCCCCCAACAGGAATAATTCACTTTTTATGGAAATTGATGCTAAGCCCAAACATTTGTTCAAATGCAGTGTTGGTGGGAAACGACACCTATGGGATCACGAGGATCCCTTCTACGATGGCTGGGGCGCAGGGTTGTGAGAAGAGCATGATTAGCAATCAGCACAAGGATCGTTTACCCAGGTTCAGGCCGCGAGGATGCGTAAAACCCTAGTCCTGCTTTGGTGGATGTATTGAGTGTTCTTGAGCTCTTGAACTAGCTATGGTGGTTGTGTGGTTTAAAAGAGCCGAATCCCTCTCCAGTATGCCATGGGCCTCCTTTTATAGTCGAAAGGGGCTGCCACAGTGGCACACAGGAGGTGGAAAGGCCTACAGTGCTACGAGCTTATCGCTCGCATTACAGGACAAGACGCATTTAATGTGTAGCTTAGGTGTCCTCTTGCTTTATTGAGGACGGGAGCGAGGCCCGTCCCGTCCGTCGCCGCTCCTCCTTGCTTTGACACGCACCCTGGCCAGCGATGCATGCGGCGCCATGTAGGCATGCAAGTAGCTGAGGTGGCGTGGTGGTGGAGCCTTCACGAAGATCTGCATGCCGCCACGCAGGCGCGTGCTGAGTTGGCCTGGAAGCCGCATGTTGCCACGCAGGTGCCTGCCCAGCTGGTTGAGCTGGTACCTGCATATGAACGGCGGTGGAGACTTGGTTGGTGCGGGCTTGGCTGTGGCCCTACTGACGCCCTTGGCAAGGGCCTTGATACGTCCATTTTGCATCATGCTTTTATATCAATATTTATTGCATTATGGGCTGTTATTACACATTTTGTGACAATACTTATGGCTATTCTCTCTTATTTTACAAGGTTTACCATGAAGAGGGAGAATGCCGGCAGCTGGGATTCTGGCTGGAAAAGGAGCAAATATCGGAAACCTATTCTGCACAATTCCAAAAGTCCCGCACCTCCACGAAAGTTACTTTTCGATTTAATAAGAAATTATGAGCAAAGAAAGCACCTAAGGGGGCCCACACCCTGGCCAGGAGGGTGGGGGCACCCCCCCTACTGGGCGCGTCCCCCTTTCTCCTGGGCTCCCTGGTGGCCCTCCGGTGCCCATCTTCCGCTATATGAGGTCTTTTACCCTGGAAAAAAACATAAAGAAGCTCACGAGACGAAACTCCGCCGCCACGAGGCAGAACCAATCTAGGGCTCTACCGGAGCTGTTCTGTCGGGGAAACTTCCCTTCGGGAGGGGGAAATCATCACTATCATCATCACCAATGATCCTCTCATCGGAAGGGGGTCAATCTCCATCAAGATCTTCACCAGCACCATCTCCTCTCCAAACCCTAGTTCATCTCTTGTATCCAATCTTGTATCAAAACCACAAATTGGTACCTGTGGGTTGCTAGTAGTGTTGATTACTCCTTGCAGTTGATGCTAATTGGTTTACTTGGTGGAAGATCATATGTTCAGATCCTTTATGCATATTAATACCCCTCTGATTATGAACATGAATATGCTTTGTGAGCAGTTCCGTTTGTTCCTGAGGACATGGGTGAAGTCTTGCTATTACTAGTCATGTGAATTTGGTATTTGTTTGATATTTTGATGAGATGTATGTTGTCTCTCGTCTAGTGGTGTTATGTGAACATCGACTACATGACACTAAACCATTATTTGGGCCTAGAGGAAGGCATTGGGAAGTAATAAGTAGATGATGGGTTGCTAGAGTGATAGAAGCTTAAACCCTAGTTTATGCGTTGCTTCATAAGGGGCAGATTTCGATCCATATGTTTCATGCTATGGTTAGGTTTACCTTAATACTTCTTTTGTAGTTGTGGATGCTTGCAATAGGGGTTAATAATAAGTGGGATGCTTGTCCAAGACCAAGAACCGGTCCACCCACATATCAAATTAGCAAAGTACCGAACGCAAATCATATGAGCGTGATGAAACTAGCTTGACGATAATTCCCATGTGTCCTCGGGAGAGCTTTTGTCATTATAAGAAATTATCCAGGCTTGTCCTTTGATACAAAAAGGATTGGTCCACCTTGTTGCACCTTATTTACTTTCATTGCTTGTTACTCGTTACAAATTATCTTATCACAAAATTATCTATTACCTACAATTTCAGTGCTCGCAGAGAATACCTTACTGAAAACCGCTTGTCATTTCCTTCTGCTCCTCGTTGGGTTCGACACTCTTACTTATCGAAAGGACTATGATAGATCCCCTATACTTGTGGGTCCTCTTGTCATTTCTGGCGCCGTTGCCGGGGACAGAAGCGCCTTTGGTGAGTGGAACTTGGTAAGGAAACATTTATATAGTGTGCTGAAATTTGCTGTCACTTGTTACTATGGAAACTAATCCTTTGAGGGGCTTGTTCGGGGTATCTTCGACCCGACCAGTAGAGCAAAGAGTTTCTCCTCAACCTACTGAACCTACTGAAAATCTTTACTTTGAAATTCCTTCGGGTATGATAGAGAAACTGCTAGCTAATCCCTTTGCAGGAGATGGAACATTGCATCCCGATTTACACCTTAGCTTTGTGGATGAAGTTTGTGGATTATTTAAGCTTGCAGGTATTCCCGATGACGTTGTTAAGAGGAAGGTTTTCCCTTTATCTTTGAAGGGAGATGCCTTGACATGGTATAGCCTATGTGATGATACGGGATCTTGGAATTATAAACGATTGAAGTTGGAATTTCACCAGAAGTTTTATCCTATGCATCTTGTTCACCATGATTGTAATTACATATATAATTTCTGGCCTCACGAAGGAGAAAGCATCGCTCAAGCTTGGGGGAGGCTTAAGTCAATGTTATATTCATGCCCCAATCATGAGCTCTCAAGAGAAATGATTATTCAAAAAAATTATGCTCGGCTTTCTCTCAATGATCGCACCATGCTCGATACTTCCTGTGCTGGTTCTTATATGTTGAAGACAACTGAATTCAAGTGGGACTTATTGGAAAGAATTAAAAGCAACTCTGAAGATTGGGGTTCCGACGATGGTAAGGAGTTACGTATAACGCCTAAGTTTGATTGTGTTAAATCTTTTATGGATATCGATGCTTTTCATGGATTTAGCGCTAAATATGGACTTGACTCCGAGATAGTAGCTTCTTTCTATGAATCTTTTGCTGCTCATGTTGATCTCCCTAAGGAGAAGTGGTTTAAATATAATCCTCCCATTGAAGTAAAAGTAGTTGCACCTATTACAGTTGAAGAAAAGACTATTACTTATAATGATCCTATTGTTCCTATTACTTATGTTGAGAAACCACTTTTCCTGTTAGAATGAAGGATCATGCTAAAGCTTCAACTGTTGTTCGTAAGAGTAATACTAGAACTTAT